TCTGCTTCTGTCAGCCTCTTTCTGCCTGTCTCTTGATGAAAAAAAGAGAGGGAATGTAACTGGTGTGGGTGCAAGAGTTAAGAGTTTGAGATCCATGGAAAACTGAGTACACCCAAAGTGAGAGCCCAGCTAGGTCCTTTTCAAATAATATCTTGTCCTTTCTTTCTTAATATCCCCCTTCACACATGGGAAAACTAAAGTCTGTGTAACTAATATTGCTTATGTTCATTGCACTAAATGGTAGAGTTAGAATTTTAACTTCTAGGCCTCAAACCTCCTAAGTTTCCTGCTATATTAATAAAAGAGAGTTAGACTCACTGTCGAAAAGAGCTTTCATCCACTCTGTATGTAGAAGAACTTAATGACTTATAGAAAGTTAATTGATTATAGGGATATATTGCCTTTCCCATTCAAGGAATATATTATGAGTAGTAACTTCTGTAGGATGTAATTTCTATTGTAGGCAAGGTTCTGACCAAGCCTTCCTTCTCCATTTTTTTAGGGTGGTAGTTTGGGGGGCATTATGTTAAAAATATCTTTGTTGCTTTGGTGGGGAAGGGGAGTAAGCGAGTTATTAGCATATAGCTGTGCTAACATGCACAGGTGTTTTCCCCTTGTACCCTCCTCTGCTGATTTTCATGATTGCGTCAGACCTTCCTTTCTTGGGCAAATTGTCTGTCTGTTCCCTCCACGGCCACATTGGAGAAATCCATGGTTTGCACTCCAGTTTGTCCACATGAATTGTTACTGTCCTTTATGCAGACAAAATTGTTAGTAGATACAGAATTAGCAGTATAATGGCCAACATTGTGACTCAGTCAGTTCAGCTACCACCTGTGATGCCAGCATCCCATATGAAAACCACTTCCAATCCAGCTTCTTGCTAAATGTACCTGGGAAATCAGTAGAAGGTGGCCTTGGTGCTTGGGCTCCTGCCACTAACCTGGGAGACCCGGATGAAGTTCTAGGCTTCTGGCTTCAGCCTGGCCCAGCTCCAGCTGTTGCAGCAAGTTGGGGAGTGAACCAACAGATGGAAGATCTCTCCCTGTTTTTCCTTATCTGTAACTCCACATCTCAAATAAATAAATTTAAAAAATTAGCAGTAAGTTGTTTTAATCAATAGATGTAAAACATGCTTCATCATCCCATTTTACAAGGCCCAATTATAAGATGGTAATATCTGTTTTCCTTATTTGAGCAAAATCTCAGTACCATAGCATTAGCAGAATTTTGACAGTAAAAATAATGATGAAAAAAATCTAGGAATTGGTAAACCATGTAATTCACCCCAAATTATGATGCTAATTCCAGTTGAATCATTTATACATTATTCATATCAAACTTATGCTTTGTTCTGTTATTTAGGTATACCACATTTTGTCTGATTGATGTTCTGTTCTTATATTTGAGAATGGATTTTTTAAGTGAGTTTTTTCTTTTGTATAATGATTATTTTTTAAGGACTTACATTATTTATTTATTTAAAGGCAAAATTACAGAGAGAAGGAGAGACAGAAAAAGTGAGGACTTCCATCTGTAGGTTCACTCCCCAAATGGGTGCACCAATTGGTGCTGGGCCAGGCCGAAACCAGGAGCCTGCAACAACATATGGGTCATCCATGTGGTAGGCAGGTGCCCAAACATGTGTGATATTTTCTGCTGCTTTTCTGAGGTCAATAGCAGGGAGCCGGATCAGAAGCGGAGCAGCCAGGACTTGAACCAGCACTACTATGGGATGCTTGCATCACAGGAGGTGGCTTAACCTGTTGTGCCACAACACTGGCCCCTTGATGAGGTTTTTGGGGTTGAGCATGGCATGTTCAGTTTATTGTAGCTGGTACAAGATTTTGAAATGATCGAGAATTTGTGGTTTTACTCAGTAACCTGTGGGAAGATGAATTTATGTCTTCCAAGTTTAATTCTAACTCCTGCTGTGCTTTCTGTAATTAAAGCCAAATCTATTATTGTTGACTTAGTTTTTATTGACTAATGTATTCAATGTGAGAAAGCTGTAGTAAAAAAATTACAAAACCTCAAAATAAGTGAAACACGATTAACTTTATCAAAGTCATTTTTGCCGCCACAGTTACTGAGAACTAATATCTAATCTTGGTGTGTCAAGATTGTAGCAGAATGATGACAACCAAATGACCAAGAAATGTGATATGGTTTGTAAAAGAATGGACTATTATTTATGTTTTACTTTCTTTGGGTGGTATTTATTTCTTTGGGAGTTCAGATTGCTTGGGTAAGAAAAGACTGGTATTTTCTTCTGAGACTTCAAAGATTGTAACACTTTTGTAGCAAATTTTTGTTTATGCTAGATAATGCTATGGAATTTTCTTCTCTATATCAATCCCTGTGAAGCGAGCCAGAAACTGAATTTATTTTTCCAAAGTTGTGGATACAAAAGAATAGAGGTTAAATGAGCTTCCTTATACAAAGAGAAGTAAATGGTCATTTCAGGTAAGGAATGAATAGAATCGTAAAGTCCTTAGAACATGGACCATTAAATAGTAGACAGGGGAATCTTTTAGTTAAATAGTAGACCAAATGACCCTCTGCATGCAAGGTAAGGAAGCTTCATGTCTTACAAGTAGTAATTTTAAAGATGATCCCTAGAATATTGGTCTCTGTTTGGCACTCAATATTTGAAGTTTTGTTTTTAGTATTCTATTTACTTGGCATAGTTAGGATTTTTGTCTAATACAGCAGAAAACTTCCTAAGTAGAATAATTTTAAAAATATGATTACATTGGATTAGAGCCGTGAACAATTGTTCATCTCAATAATGATTCCATCTTTTGAACTCATTAAAATATAAAGGCCTTTTAAAAAATCTGCCTCATTATTTTTAATGCAGTTCTATCCTATCCTTTTGTTGGTAAAGGTAGTAAAAATGTCCCTCCTAAAGGGAAAGAAAGATCATTTCTAGTTAATCAATACCTTTCTCTTTAGGGTTTTTTTAAGCATTCTTTATTTTTAAGGATTTCTTTATTTATTTGAAAGGTAGAGTTACAGTGAGGGAAAGACACCGAGAGAAAGATATCTTCCATTTTCTGGTTCACTTCCCAAATAGCAGCAGTGGCTGAGACTAAATCAGGATGAAGCCAGGAGCTTCATTCAGATCTCCCATGTGGCTAATAGGGGTCCAAGTACTTGGGCCGTAATCTGCTGCTTTCCCAGGTGCATTAGCAAGGAGCTGGATTGGAAATGGATCAGCCCAGACTCAAACTGGTGCTCATATGGGATGCCAGTGTCATAGGCAGTGGCTTAACCTGCTGCACCACCACAACAGTTCCATGAAACGTCTTTCTGAAAACAAAACCAGAAGTAAATTTGGGTATTGGTTGCAGCAGAGTGAGTGAGAAGCATGATGGAGGACAGAGCAGAGGCTCAGGGATGTCAAAAGGACTCTGGATTTCTAAGTCTAGTTGCTGGTCTTCTTTAACTTGTGACTTGAAAAAGAAGTCATGGAACCTCTCTCGATGTCACTTTCTTCATATAGAATGTAAAGACTTTGATTTAGACTTCCAAGTTTATTTTCAGTGCTAGCTTTTAATCATTTAATCAAAATGCAGCAGGAGATTTTTTTTTAAATCAGACAATGTTTATCTTAGTGTTCTGATTCCACATCCTCCTCTAGTTACTGCCCCGTTTCTGTAGTTTTCTTTATAGAAACGCTTCTCAAAGGATATGTCTCTACTCCGTGGTTCCATTTCCTATCCTCCAGTGTGAGCACCGAACCCCCTCCTACACCCTTTTCCTTGTCCTTGTCCTTGGTCTAAGTGACCCCAGGTTAGGCACACACCACCCAGAAGCGTATGCCACTTCTCGGCTCCTCCTCTTACTTTCGGTTCGCCTGGCGAATTCACATAAGGGACTGATCATCCCAGAATTCGGAACCAAGTCATCTTCCCTCACTTGAGAGAGGTGACGCTCCAGAGACACCATGTGGGCATATGGCCTTGACCTAACAAATCAAGAAAGTCCCCTACTAAGCACAGGACATACGTACGATCTGATACACCACTGTCTGTTCGTCTAATGTAGGGAACCCCTGCAGAATGCCATCAGCCATGGAGGTGCTAGGAATTTGCATTGTTATGGCAGCAGTGCTGTGCCTGTCTTTCCTTTGGCTAGAGCTGGTGTGGCGTGCTGTTCTTAAGTGCTCAAACATGGGAAAGATAGCCCCCTCTCAGAATCCCACACAGATTACCAAACATAATGAATCTGTGAGTGATAAGAGCCTGACACTCCAGGCCGCTGCCTCACAGGCAACAGTTGATGACTTAGGGAGAGAGATCTCTGATGGTGAAAATGACATTTCAGCAGACAAGGTAGCAATGCCTGGTCAGCCACCCCCCAAATACTTGTGGGATAAACTTAGATGACCTCGAGGCAATAACCCACACAAGGTCATCCCATCCAAACCCAGTGAGGATCCCCACATTTGTGGCAGTTCCCAGGCACCCCAGGTTCTCAGGGCAGCTGCTAGACCCCATCCCACCTGCACGTTTGCTGTTAATGTAGGAGTGGATGCAGAATTCAAGCCCTGGATTCCAACACCCATAAATGACCCTGCTATGCTAAAAAAGGCTTCTCAAGAATCAGGTCCCAACTCTCCCTACTTTGAACAGGTGCTCATACAATGGGTAGCGAACCTTCAAACTCATTTTGACTGGGTTACACTGCTCAAAGCATGTTTGTCGAGACCACAGTTCTTACAGTGGAAAGCCTCCTATGAGGAAGAAGCTGAAACCGTGGCGAGGAATAATGCTGCCTATGGAATTGCACTAACCTTTAGATATGACCCTCAGGTGCCTCTATTTGCCATAACCATATCTACCCTCAAGGCCCCCTTAGGAGTTATTTGGCAACAACACGGACCACTTTTTTGGGTGCAGATAGCCTGGAGCGAGTGTCATAAAATAGTTAACAAAGTAGATGCCATCCTTATGATGGGACTTAAGATATTATGCCAATAAGATATTTAACACAGAGGCAGACATAGTGGTCCTACCCCTATCACAATTAGAACTGTTGACATTGATGCAGAATAGCATGCTCTTTCAAACGTTAATGATAAATTTCCCAGGACAGGTTGACAATCACCTAACAGCGGACAGGCTACTCCAGACATTACAAACCTTAGAAATAGACTATCCAAAAAATGCTTTCCCTGCTAATCAACCTATACCCATGGCACCGTGTGCGTTTACGGATGCCAGCAAGTCACTGTTTGGAATAGTGATCAAATCCTCAACAGAAAAAGATAAGATCCATGTAGAACCCCACGGGGGATCAGTACAATTGGGAGAAATAAGGGTAATAATCAAGGTTCTGCTCCTTAGCCAGGGCCGGTAAATACATTTTTGGACAGCAAATACTCAGTACAGGTAGCAAAGACGATCCCTTTTGCAGTCTTTAACCTGACTAATAAGCCAATTGACCAGATGTTCACAACACTTAAAGAGCTAACAGAACAGAAAATACCCATGGTATATCTCACACATAAGATCACATACTGGGCTACCTGGCTTTATTTTCCAAGGCAACAAAAAGGTTGATCATCTTATCTCTTGCAACACGGCTTCCATTGGACACCTAGAACAAGCCCGTATTCTACACCAAAAATTTCATATGTCAGCAAACAACATAAAATTGCTTTTTCCGGAGCTAACAATGAGCTAATGCAAACACCTAGTGCATTCTTGCAAGAATTGTGCACCCCTCGCCCCATTAGGCCCACTGCAACAAGCAGGAGTGAACCCGCGAGGCCTTGCTCCTGATAAGCTCTGGCAAGTGGACATCACCCACATTAACTCCTTTGGTCAACTTAAGTTTGTCCATGTGGTGGTAGATACTTGTTCAAAGGCTGTATTTGCAACAGCCCAATCTGGAGAAAAGGCTAATAATGCGATAAAGGCGGTTAAATCAGCCATGCTGGTCCTTGGTGTCCCCTGGACCATAAAGACTGATAAAGGACCAGTGTATACATCACAGGAATTTAATTCCTTCCTGAAATCCTGGAACACACAGTCTGCCACAGGTATCCCATACAACCCACAGGGACAGGCAATCATTGAAAGAACTCATAGGATGATTAAAGATCTCTTACAAAGACAGAAAAGCAATCATTTGCTCCCAGACCCACAGCTTGCTTTGACTGAGGTCCTTTTCACTATCAATTTTCTTACTTTTGATTCCCAAGGGATCAGCCCAGCTCATAAACACTGGGTTCCTTTCCATCCCAGACCCCAGCCCCTATGGTTAGGTGGAAAGACTTCCTGACAGGAGAATGGAAGGGACCACACCCCCTGCTAACCGAGAGCCAAGGATATGCATGTGTCTTTCCAGAGAAAGCGAAACAGCCCATTTGGGTAACAGCCAGAAACATTAAGCCTGCTACTGACAGCCAACCAGAACCAGCTAAATAAGACTGAGAGTCTGCCTTGTTAGCGGATGCAGCTGCCCTATCATCCTACCCTGAGAAACTGCCCATAGCCACATCCGTTACTGGTTTATACCCCACTAGCTCTGGTCAGCCACTCAAATGGCCCACAGGCTGTGTGCGGTCATGCCATTCCTGATTATTCCTCATTCCTACCCCTATCTGAGCAAGCACTCCTGTGGTCTCCTGTTTTGAGCACTGGTTAGTCAATGATGGGTAAGATCCCCTGGGGGACAACCTAAGACAGTCACAGCCGCGTAGGGAGACCACGTGGAAATGGGGTCAACAATGGTATGGCCAAGAATCATGCCTTCCGTTGCTCAAAAACAAAAAGGGGCAAATGTGGAGTGAGAAGGTGAGAAGTCATGCCAAGACGGCCGCTGACAACAGAAACTGCCTGGCAACAGGCCGTGATTAGATGGCTTCAGAAACATGACTACAGAGCCTGACTGACAACAGGCCGTGATTGGATGGCTTCAGAAACCACACAACAGAGCCTGACTGGCAACAGGCTGTGATTGGCTGGTTTCAGAAACTGCCTGGCAACAGAGCCTGACTGGCAACAGGCTGTGATTGGATGGCTTTGGAAACTGCCTGGCAACAGGCTGTGATTGGTTAGGGCATAGACTGCCTCTTGACCGGATTGGCTGCCTTGGCTATATAAGCAGCTGTAGCAACTGAAATAAGTCTGCAGGCTGCTTGCCTCAGGCCTGCTTTCACCTGACTCCCGGGGTCTGTGTGGTGGCTCTGCCCCTCTTGCCCCCATCATGCTGCTCCTCTCAGGAATGAATCCACAGCAACACTCCGGGTGTCTTCTTAAACTCACTCTGCCTCCCCCTCACTGTTTACAAGCTTTACTGTATTTTTTTTATAAGATTTTATTTATTTGAGAGAGTTACAGAGAGAGGGAGAGACAGAAAGATCTTCCATCTGTTGGTTTAGTCCCCAGATGGCCACAATGGCCGGAGCTGAGCTGGGTTGGACTTGAGCTGATCTAAAGCTAGGAGCCAGGAGATTCTTCTAGGCCTCCCACATGGGGGCAGGGGCCTAAGCACTTGGGCCATCTTCTGCTGCTTTCCCAGGCCATAAGCAGGGAGCTAGATCAGAAGTGGAGTAGCCTGGAATCAAACTGGCACCCGTATGGAATGCTTGTACTGCAAATAGAGGCTTAGCATACTATGCCACAGCGCGGGCCCCTGCTGGCTGTACTCTTAAGGTAACTGCAATGCTAGATACAGTTCTTTGGCATCATTTTTTTGATGCAGTTGCATTTGCATTTGTGACTTGGGATGGGTTTGTATTATTTTCTTACTACCTACCTGAGAACAGTGGGTCAAGCTGTCAAGTGTCCTAGGCTGGTTATGTGCCACAGGAATTCTTGCCATGGCATTATCCTGATGGCACACTTATGACAGATGCATCATCACCTTACATAGTAGGAAGCAAAAAGCTGATTCCAAGAAGTTGTTGAGGGGCTGGAATGGAAATTGTATGTTCCATTTCAGATGTCACTAGGTCCCATTTCCCCTTTTTTTAAACCTAGAAACCTTTTATTTAAGGTATATAAACTTCTTGCATTTCATATATACAAATATAGGAGCATAGAGATTCTTCCCACTGTACCCATCCTCCTACCTTTACTCCCAACCTTCTTCCCCCTTCCTCTCGTATTCCCATTCTTATTTTTTTACTAAGATCTATTTTTCAATTAACTTTATAAACATAAGGTTAACCCTATGCTAAGTAAAGAGTTCAACAAATAATATGAAAAAGAAAAAACTGTTCCTCAACAGTCGAGACAAGGGCTGTTCAAAGTCATCACATCTCAAAGTGTCAATTTCACTCCTGTGGATTACCTTTTAGGTACTCTATTAGTTACCATAGATCAGGAAAAACATGGTATTTGTCTTTTTGAGACTGGCTTATTTCACTAAGTATAATGTTTTCCAGTTACATCCTTTTTTTTTTTTTTTTTTTTGCAAATGTAGGCCCCAGTTTTATTTCATAAGGCTTTTGTAGCATGCCATGCATGGTGCTTGTTGGATAGCAGGCCTGTGTGCCTCTAAGGCTTTTCTCCACCTTTTCTTTTTCTTTCCATTTTTCCTCCACTCTGTGGCCTTTTTACCTCTAAATCATGGTGTGAAATTATAACCAGAGAGCACATCGTGATTCACATTACTTGCAACATGTAACAAGGGCATATTCTTCATGGGGGACTGTTCTCCAGCTTTTTGCTCCTGCTTCTCACACTAGATGAGGGCTGCTCCCCTGCCTGTATACCTGCAGCTCATGACATGAATCCTCTGAGGTATGGCCTTTCTCCAGCAATAAATCACCGAAGCTGTTGCTATTTCTGAAAGCCAGCCTTTCTTCGGGTTGGGAAATTAAGAGAGCGTGGTCTCCTCCCTTCTCTTAGGGTTTGCTGAGGCAGAGTTTGTTCATGGTGAAAAATGTGCCATTCAGCTCCAGCTTAACCTGATCAGGGAACATACAGAATCAGATGGAAGCAAAATGAAATACTGTGACTATACCGGGTGCTTCTGTCACCAAGGCAAAGAGGTGAGGGGAAATCTAATTATTCTTGAACAGATTGCCCTCTGCCAAGCTCTGTCATGCCTGCGTGCACATTAACAAGGGGATGGCCTGTGTCTGACTCCAGAAGCCTCGCAGAGCTGACTTCAGGCCCCTTTGTTTGCTTCAAACCTTGGATGGCGCAGAGCACTGGCAAGCTTCACTCACTCAGCAACAGTTTGGAGGGTCTTTGCAGTTTTACACAGCTGCTTTCTCTTCCCTCTGTGATCCCTAACTCTTTCCTCCTCCTCCTCTCAGGGTTCCTTGTGCTGTCTTGCTAATTACAGGTTAAGTATATGTCGGTGGCTCTGGCAGGCATAGAAAGGTAGGCTATGTTATTTAAATTCCTCAGACCCTTCACCTCCTTTCTAAGTTCTGGCTTTCTAGTCTGGTTCTACACACCCCTGCTGCTCTTTTAGTTCCTTTGTTCTGTCTTCAAAACCCACCCTCAGACTTGGTCTTCAGCCAGTCATTCAGGCCTTCAAGTCTGTTCCCTGTCTCTCTTCCTCAATTGCTGAAGGAAAGGTTTTACCCCTTGTTTAAAAGGATGATGCTTTGAGGGATAGAATCAGGTGTGTTTGAAGGGTTTTGTTTTTGAACAAGGGTCTCTTTCTCAAGCCATTGACATTTCCTTGTGTGTGCAGTTCTTAGCTCTTCTGAGATCACACTCCAAGCGTTTTCCTTCTTTTTGGTCCATTTACACTCCTGCAGCTTGAGTCTTGTCTTTTCAGATTTTCCCAGCACCAGACCTATCGGGAAGTTTTGGTCTTAAGGACAGGTGAAAGTGTGAGGTAATATAAGCAGTTTTACTACCTGTATTCTTATAAAAAGTTCCTGTTTCCTCACTCCCCTCTTCCTCTGGCGTGGTGCATCCTCAGCCCTGTGTGGTTTTTTTTTATCACAGTACTTGGCATGCTATGTTGTAATGTCCCTTCTCTTGTTGTTGCCAGACATGTGAGCTCCCCAACTCCAGGGACACCCTCTACCTTTGATCAGCACACTGTAGATATTTAAAAAATACAGATTAGTAAATAATAATTGAGTGTGGTTTGAGAGTGGTTTAATAGCATAAGGATCAAATATGAGCTTTGGTGTCAGACCTGGAATAAAATTCACGCCTATACTTCTTAATAGAAATATGACTCTTTAACTTTTCTGAGACTCAGCTCTTGATCTGTATCAGGTTTGATCATATATTGACTAGTGAGCTAATAGCCATTAACGTGTTCTGATCACTCAAGTGCATGCCAGGCATTGTACTTAGCAATCTGCATGAATTTGTTTCATTTAACTCTCACCATGTTTCAGATGAATATTGTTTTTATTACTTTTTATCACATCACAAAGTCAATTTAAGAAATTTAAGCTGCTCACTAAAGGTTACACAACTAGGAAGTAGACTGAGTTAGCATTCTGTCATCTGATTCCAGAGTCCTTGCTCTTAAGATTATGAATTCTGGGGCAGGTGTTGGCTCATTGGTTATGTCAGTGCTTGGATGCCTCCATCCCATTTCGGAGTTCATTAATAAAAAAACTGGATTGGACATGGAATAGCCAAAACTGTAACCATCACTCTGTCACAGAGGCTTAACCCACTGCGCCAAACACCAGCTCCCCTCATCGTATTTTTATTATTATTATTATTTTTATTTATTTATTTATTTATTTTGACAGGCAGAGTGGACAGTGAGAGAGAGAGACAGAGAGAAAGGTCTTCCTTTGCCGTTGGTTCACCCTCCAATGGCCGCCGTGGCCGGCGCGCCGTGCTGATCCGATGGCAGGAGCCAGGAGCCAGGTGCTTTTCCTGGTCTCCCATGGGGTGCAGGGCCCAAGCACCTGGGCCATCCTCCACTGCACTCCCTGGCCACAGCAGAGAGCTGGCCTGGAAGAGGGGCAACTGGGACAGAATCCGGCGCCCCGACTGGGACTAGAACACGGTGTGCCGGCGCCGCAAGGTGGAGGATTAGCCTAGTGAGCCGCGGCGCCGGCCCCCTCATCGTATTTTTAAGAAGCAGTTGCTCCTCCTCTAGTGAGATCCATTAAGTTGGTGGCAGACTCAATCTCCTGGAAGGCTGTTTATGGTACTTAAAATGACTCATCTCCAAGGTTCTGTATGTTCTTAAGTGATACTTAAGACAAGTGTCTGGCAACTTTCTGGAAGTTCTTTGCTATCCAGGACACTTGTTTAATGCTTCCAGAGTTAACTGTGCATTTACATTGCAGAGGGAATTCTTTGTTTCCCAGTCTTCAGTGAAGTGGAAACATAGTGTTTTGTATCTTTCTATAAAAGTCAGCAGTTTTCCAAAGGTCTTGCTTATGAAAGTTATTAGTTATGCAAAGTGGGCCTTTATGGATATTCCATGAAATGATTCCAATTAAAAGGCAGTGGTTAGATTGCCAGTCAGTGTCAGGTAATTAAATTATGATATGCTCCTGTCATTAACAAGGACTCTGATGTGGGAGGGGGGGAGATAAACAAAGATTCTTGAAATTTGTTGATAGGGAGAGTATATTACTTTGTGCATTCTCGTATAATTAGGAAAATAAAACAGCTTCGCATTATGTATTGGAAATAGAGAAGACTTATTACTTTCTCCTAGGGTATAATTAATCAATTTCAGCTGTGGTGTTTCAGATGTTATGGTAAAGTAGAATTTCATTAAAAACTGTAGTTCAGTAATAATGGGCCAGTCATACTGATACTATTTCAAACATAAAAATGAGCTTCAGATATCAAAAGCATATTCTTTCCTTAGTGTTGCCCCAAGAAGAAGTTGAATTGAGAAAGGGCTACATTGGAATTTTGAGGCTGGTTTCAACTCATATTTTTGTAGTGATTGAAGGAAGACAGTTTAGTTCCTTGACTTGTGCATTGGAGAGGGCCAAGGACTTCTTTCACTGATACTCTGGCCAGTGCATGGATCCTCTCGTCTCAGCTCCACAGGGAGGCTGTCGATCCAGCCAAGGAGAGCCTTGCTGGGCTGCAGTAAGTCGCTTATAAATACAGACAGGGATTGGAAAGGAAACTGCTTTTCTTCTAGCTGTAGTTATAAATCTTACCAGGAGCTTGTAGAAGCTGTGTGTTAACCAGGACGCTGCTCCATGAGGAAGTAAATTCCCTGACTGGCAAGTGTAAGACTTTGGGAAAGATAACTTTTCTGCATTCATTCCAGTTTTCAGTACCTTGATCTGGTGGCCTTCTGTGGGGTTATGTGGTTATCTGCACCCCCAGACATG